ATTCTCTTATTCCTCTTGCTAAGACAAGGGTGTCTACTTTTCTTCACTCCTATTCAATACAGAAAACGCCCTTGCCTTGTTCCTGATTTTAGTGGAAATGAGTTTTTCCCCATTTAATATAATATTGCCTGTGGGTGGTCATTAAATAGCCTTTATTGAGATATGTTCCCTCTATTCCAAGTTTCTTCAGGACTTTTAACTTGAAGGGATGGTGGGTTTTGTCAAAGCCTTTCTGTTTCTATGGAGATGACCATGATTTTGTCTTTGAGTCAACTTCTGTAATTTATAACATTTATTGATTTATATACGTTGAACGATCACTGCACATCTGGAATAAAGCCAACTTGAGCATAGTGAATGATCTTCTTGATAGGTTCTTGAATTCAGTTGGCAAAGATCTTGTTGTGAATTATTATGTCTAAGTACATCAGGAAAAATGGTCTACAATACCCTGTTGTCATTGTTTCTTTGTCTGCTTGGGTGTCAGGGTGTTACTATATTCACAGAAAATACTGGTAATGTCCCTGCCTCTGTTATCTTATGGAATGGTTTGGGAAGCATTGGTGTTAGTTCTTTGGAAGCCCTGTAAAATTCACTGATGAATTTAGAATTGCTTTGCCTACCCAAGGTTTCTTAGGCTTCCATATGAGTTTTAAGATTGTTTTTCTATTTCTGTGAAGAATGTCACTGGAATTTTGATGGGGATTACACTGAATCTATAGATTGCATTCAATAAAACAGACATTTTCACACTATTAATTCCTCCAATCCATGAACATGAGAGGACAAGCTTCTAGTGTGTTCCTCAATTTCATTCTTCAGTGTTTTAAAGTCTTCATTATAAGGGTCTTCCACATCATTGCTTAGACTTATTCCAAGGTATTTTAGTTATTGTCAATGAGCATGTTTTACTGATGTTTTTCTCAGTTTGTCATTAGGATGTAGGGTCGGGGCTTGTTTTAGTTAGAATTTTTAATTACTGTTTCAACCCCACATGTGGCTCTAGAAGTTCATCTATTTCTTTTAGATTTTCCAATTTAGTGAAAGATATATTTTCAAGATAAGACCTGATGCCATTTTTTAATTTGAATGGTATCCATTGTAATGACTCCGTTTTCATCTCTAGTTTTATTAATTTAGGTTTTCTCTTTTTTTTTAGTTAGTGTGGCTAAAGGTATGTGACTCATTTATATTTTCAGAAAGTCTATTGTCTCATTGAATTTTTGTAATTTTTATTTCTATTACATTAATTTCTTCTCTGATCTTAATTCCTTCTTTCCATCTACTAAGTCAGAGTTTGACATATTCTTTTTCCAGAGCTTTAAGGTGTATCTGTTGGCCTATGGTGGCTTAGAAATTTGATTTTAAATAGCCTATGAGAAATGACAGCAAGCAAACAGAAACATAATTAGAGAATTTTAATTTACTTATAGCCCAAACAAAGTCCCAATAAAAATAACAAGGGTGGAGGGCGGGCAGTAGTGAAACCAATACTCAAATTTATGCAGAAAATTGTGAAAGTAAAGTACTGAATATATTAATGACAATATCTAGGGCTGGAGAGATGGCTCAGTGGTTAGGAGCACTGGCTGCCCTTGAGGAGGTCCTGGGTTCAACTCCCAGTACCCACACGGCAGCTAACAACCATCTGTAACTCCAGTTCCAGGGGGCTCTTATGCCCTCTTCTGACCTCTATGGATTTTGCCAGACATGGGTGCTCCTATATACATTCAAGCAATACAATCATACACAAAATATAAAAATAATAAAATATTTTAAAAATCTAAGTGTTGCAATTCATGTCTTCATGGCAATCTTAATTCTATATATCTACACCAATAAAGAAATTAGAACTTGGAAAGCCTAGAAATTTTGTCACAGAACGAGTATGTTCCTGTGGACAGGATCTATTTTGCCTGACAGATTCATTGTCACGAGGCTGGAAAGGGTGAAGAGCCATTTGCTAGAATACGGGAACTCTGAAGTAAATGTAGAGAAAACTTTATGACATCTGAAAGTAAGACTTAGCATCTAATTGTTTTTCATCAGTAAAATGAGCTTAGAGACATTTTAACATTCTAACAAGATAGAAAATATTTACAATAGCCTATTATGAGGAAGTATAGACTCTAGGGTTTTCGGTGGAAATATAGAACAAAAACTGAAAGCTAGCAAGGCTAAATTAGATGCAAAATGATGAGATAATGTTCTGGGCTTTAAATTTCTCCTATTTTAGTTATTTACTACAAAGAAATGCTATTAAGGAAATTAAATAGTGAGAAAAAGTAAAGATGGCCATTTCATATTGGTGAAAGGAGTAAAAAACCAAGAGGATACTACTATTCTAAATCGATATGTCCTGAGCAAGTACATACAATTTCATAACACAAGTACTACTAGAGGTATCCCCAACACAGAAGTAGTGCGTGATGGGTCTTTTCTCTGTTCCCTTTAGTTTGTTTGTCTAAGGACATGTGTCATTATGCTATTTATTTGGGCTCTCTCTGGGTTCTTAATGGAGACACTTAGAGATATACAGTTCCCTCTTAGGACTGTGTCCCATAGGTTCATGATCCCATTCTCACCAATTCACAGATCAACCTTACAAAAAGTAAATGGAGAAATATCTGAATTTATTGACACTGTAGATTAAATGTACTTAACAGATATTTATAGCACATTCCATCCAAATATTACAGAATATACATTTTTCTTAGCAGTCAATGGAACTTTCTCTAAAACATCATATATTAGGACACAAAGTAGGTCTTGACAAATATAGGAAAATTAAGCTTATAAAACAGTATACTTCCCTATTTTCAGACATTCTTATTATTATTTCTCCCTCCTTCCTTCCTCTTCCTCTGTATTAGCCTTCTGTACTTCCCTTGTGTCTTATCTGACTGCAATGGAATAACACTACAAATCAACAGCAAGAGAAACCCTAAGACATATACAAACTCATAGAGACAAAACAACACACTGCTGAACAATGAATGGATCCTTCAAGAAATCTGCAAGGAAACAAAAAAAATTCATAGACTTGAGCTCTGTTCTGCTCTGCCCCCTCTATTTCCTTCCCTTTCTTCCTTTCCCCCTTTCCTTCCTTTCAGTGAGACTGAGCCCCAGGGCCTTACATGTGATAACTAATCTCTCTGCCACTATGCCCAGCCCTAAGAGCATGTATTTCTTTTTTTAAATATTTATTATTTTTATTTTATGTGTGTGCGTGTATTGCCTGCATGTAGGTAAGTGTGCCCATGTCATGCAATGCCCGTGGAGGACAGAAGCAACTATTGGATACCCTAGAACTGGAGTTACAGACAGTTCTTAGCTGCCATGTGAGTGCTGGGATTCAAACCCAGGTCTTCTGCAAGAACAGTCAGTTCTTAACTGCTGAGCCATCTCTCCAGCCCCGAGCTTGTATTTCTTAAAAATGAACTTAAGAGTCTTTGTTTTCTGTTCTTATTGCCTTTTAATAATTTTTTCTGGAGAAGAGAGGGAAGGTGTTGGCTTTATATCACCATTTGCAAATTGGGGAAGGTCTTGGAAGAGGAGATGGAAAGATTGTAGGAGCCAGAGAAACAAGATGCCTTCTGCTAGATAATGCATTCTAGGTATGTTAGGGAAGCTGCACCCATGAAATTACCACGGAAACCTAATAAGATCCCTATAGTGACAACAGTCACTTGACATGTCAATGCTAATGTCTTGGATTCTCACCTCTAGATGAAGAGCCACAGGCAATCAATGGATGCTGAAGGAAAGAGAATCAGTTTTCTCCTGGGACTAGCTCCCTGATAGGTTATCTAAACCAAATTGTCAGCCCTAAACACAGGTACACCTGAGTGCCATTAAATGGACTCAGTGAATTGTAATCATATATACAGATATAGATATGTATATTAATAAATATGTGTATATTTATAAATACGTGTGTAACAATAATAACCAGAGATGACAAGAAATTGAGAGGGAGTGGCAGGTATCATGTCAGGAGTGGGAGGGGACTCGGAGGGTTGGAAATAATGCAAATAAAATATGTATGAAATTCTCAAAAACTAAAAATATGTATATGTGTATTTAAAAAACATTTCTAGGCTACAAACTACATCTATTATTTTTCAGTGTTTCAGCAAAAGACTAGGGCTATCACTCCATGGTGGAAGGCTTATGTATCATGAGGCCCTAGGTTTAATGTCTGGGACCTAAAAAAATACTCCAGGTTTTCTACAATAAGTAATCACCATTTGAAAATGATTTACTATATTATATCCCTTATGGTTCTCTACAAATATTGAAGTTCACATTATGCTAAATGGTCTGTCTCTTTTCAATGTGTACACAAATATGGATAGAATTCCAGCCAAATTGTGCTACTCTGGTATGAAGAGCTGATTTCCTAAGAACCAGAAATCAATCAATTTTGAGGTGTAACCTTACCCTGGGATACACACAACATAGAACATATTGCACAAAATTTGTTCCAGAGATTGATACGTTACAGCAATGCATCAACTTGCCCAATTTAGGATTGCTAACTCTACCACATCCTCCATACCATACGATGACAAGTGTTGACATTCTTAGACAGACTGTGCTGAAGGTATAGGTTAAGAGCATAGAACATAGAATCAGAGGTTTGAATCCACACCTATCTCGACAAATTGTTTTATGTCTTTAAAACTCTGCTTCCTCACCTGTAAATTGAAGGTACTTATAATACCCACCCTCATAGATTCAAAGGAAACATGGAAAGCACAAATTATTTTTTGTCACATAAATAAAGTTTTTAATATCAAGAGTTCTATCATATCAATAATTATTTGTCATTTTAACTGACTTTAAAGGGTCCTCCAAATGGTGTACACGTATATAAAGGTTAGAACAAAGAAATAAGAGTTAATATTTGGCAATCAGTTAGGCAACATGTGATACATCCTAAGTGTGACAAAGATAAATGAAGTCTTTACAGGTTTCCTGAATTCAAAGAAGATATTCTATGAATATAATCTGGTAGTTGCCTTCCTCAGGGCATCCTTTACATCTCTGTTCCTCAGACTGTAGATTAGGGGATTTAACATAGGGATCATCACTGTGTAGAACACAGACAGCACTTTGTTCTGTTCAGTGGAGTAGTTGGACTTGGGCATCACATAAATGAAGGTGATTGTTCCATAATAGAGAGTGACTGCAGTGAGGTGGGAAGTGCAGGTGGAGAAGGCCTTGTGGCGGCCCTCAGTGGAACGCATCTTCAGGATGGTGATGAGGATGTAGATGTAGGAGACAGCTATGACAAACACTGTGATCACAATGATGGAGCCAGAAGAGATGGAGGGGATGATTCCAACAATGGAAACGTCTGAGCACGAAAGTTTCAACAAAGGGGAGAAGTCACAGAAAAAGTGATCTATCTGATTTGGTCCGCAGAAAGACAGACTAAACAAACAACCAGTAAATGTCCAACCATTCATGCAACCACCCACGTAGGAAGTTCCCAATAATAAAAAACAGATGCTAGAGGACATATGTGTAGAGTAGAGCAGAGGAGAACAGATGGCCACGTAGCGGTCATAGGCCATGGCAGCCAGCAGGAAGCATTCGGCTGACCCAAACGACACTGTTATACAGAGCTGGGCTTCACAGCCAGCCACAGGGAAAGCCAGTCCATGCCCAAGCAGTTCCATAAGCATTATAACCGAAACTGATGTGGAATACACAATGTCTACAAAAGCCAGGTGGCTAAGGAACAGGTACATGGGAGTGTGGAGCTGAGAAGAAATTCTAATTAGACCAATTATGCTGATATTGCCTACTAAAGTGACAACATACACGCCTAGAAATAGCACAAAAAAGACTACACACAGTGTAGGGTCCTGTGTCAGCCCCAAAATGATGAACTCTGTCACGATGGTGTGGTTCTCAGCCTCCATCTCTCGTGTGAATTGTTCCTGTTGAGGAAAGTGAAAATATTCGTTGTTCCTGCTTTTTTCTGCATATTGTTGAGTTTCTTTGATATTCCTTATGCTCATTCATAGCCATCTCCACCTCTATCCAACATGGAAATATCAGTGCTCTTTGGGACGTAGGTTTTTGTCCTTTTCTCTTTGTATAAAAGGAGCATGATGAGCCTCCCTGTCTGCCTTCATAATTATGTTTTTTCTTTGTGTACTCTTTCTTAAAATACTAACCAACACTTCACCACTAAGACCTCTTTCCAGTGATCCAGGTCCATAATTCCAATGATCTATTGGGATTCTCACACTCAATTACTTGCTGGAAATCCCACGACAACCTCACACCTTGTCTTCCCCGTACCCAAATCACACATTACATTTCTTCAACCACTCCATCTATATTTCATACCTGGGGACTGGTACTCCATTCACCCAGATTCCCTATCAACTGGGAACCCTTCATATCTCATCCCTCTTCTTCCCATTGTGTTGTGTGTAATAAAATCCTATAATTGTTTGCAGATTACTTCCCAGTTTTAAATCTCTTTGTCAATACAAACACATAGAAATCACCTCAAAGGTAATAGTTTATTCTGCAGCCAAATATGAGTGGTCCTGGCCCAGAAACATAGACCTAGATTGCCCCAACTACCATGTTCCATTGTGGTAACAATTTTATGAGGATTTTTAAAGTTGCAGAATAAAAGAAAGCCATAAATCTTTTCAATATATCTGCAGAAACATCAGGTAAGTGGGTTTCAGCACAAGTGGGGAAATCTGTGTAACAGGTTTCAGATGCTAAGTACATTCTTAGCTTTGGGTTGGTGAAAGCTAATGGATACATCTCAAAAGATTTCACATGAGAGCCATAAGGATGTTAGGTCAGACACAAATATGGGCAATGACTAACTATTAATGAGGATGAAGCTAGCTCAAGAAAATTTTGATCCATATCATCAACAATTCGCCTCTCCAGAATCATCAAGTACTAATCCACCATCCAGCCTTGAAGAATCGTTAACGTGGATGTGGCTTTCAAAACAATATAAAATGATGACCTCTTGCTAGTAAAGATCAGAGGATGTCAAATAATTCATTTAATTTCTTCAGTGACTTCTCAGATCTTCGTGATGAAACACAACCTCATTAGCCCAGCACACATCTGGTGTATCCCTGAAGATGATTTTGTCTCTTGAGGTGTTTTTGTCCACTGCACACACTAACCTAGTGGTCCATCGAGATTTTAGGTGATTTCTCCTCGTCCTACTCAAGATTATGCTCTCTACAAAGCTTTGTCTGTTTCCTAACGATGGACTAATTGCCCCTCTTTGTGATACTAACATCTTTCACAGATGTCTCAATTGCCTTGTGATTTGGGGGTTTTGTTGATGACCTGTTTACCTTTCATTTTACTTAATCAATACATATTCTCATCAATAATTGTTTAACATTCTCTTACATATACCTTACAAATACTCGGGCATGAAATATTCTGAAAATAGTGGTGAATATATGCCTGATTAGTGTAGGGAGCCAGACATTACGTTCCTACCCAGGAAATTAGGCTTCAGAGAGAAGAAAGATAATGAATACTTTTCTTCATGGAAAAATGCTACTGTATCAGTATAAGTGATGGTTTCTTTTGTGTCTGACAAAAATTATATAACAATGTTGGAGAAAAATACTCAAAAATTAAAAGAAAATTCCTTTGTAAGGTAGCTATTATCACACATGTCAAATATTAGAAATTTTGTACATTTCTAAGTATTTGCCTTTATACATTAATATGCATTTTAACACAATGCATGTGTACAGCACATATACACATATGTACATGATCTTGCTAGGTACCCCAGGTTGGTCTTAAACTTGTGATTCTCCTGTTCCAGCCTCACAAGTGCTTTTAATACAATTATGGGCATGCCTGACTTAGACATATTTTAATACTGTTTATGTAATTAAAATTGCAATATAAGAATTGGTTGTACTATAAAACCTTACTCACATGATTTTTGATATCTGTATGATAATGCAATGAGTAGAACATAATTTAATTGACTACTATTGTTTTCAGACACTCATTGTTTATAACTTTTAACTATTAAAACTAGGAATTCTGGAAATTAGATCAAGCACTAATTGAAAAATATAATAAATTTATGCAATTCATTTCTTACTTGTTTTATTAGGGTAATAATTCAAAGTAAATACCTTCTCTACTCCAGGGTAAATTTATCTACCTAAATGTGGTAATGAAAACACTAAGCTAAATTGTTCCAAATTGTTTGTTGATTTATGTAGTTCTTTACTGATTTGTCTTATTCTCTGTTGATTGAAGAGTTTAGTTCGCCCCATGTCCCTGAGTAATCATCAGAGCTGAAACACTTCATGAAAGCTATGTTACATGTTTTAGCTTGATACTCTAGAGCCTTTGGTCTCCCTTCAACCACTTTTCTCCCTATGTATCACCCTAAAACACCTGCTTGCAATTTTGTACTTTTTAAGAACCATGTTAGAAGATGCTATGATTTTCTCCTCATAGTTACCAGCTATAAGAGTCATAGAAATGCAATTTTCTGATAACATTTTCTTCATGTCTTGGGGATTTGAACATTTACCACAACCAGTAATATCAGCATTAAACATCTTGCAAGATTATCACCTTCTTAAATGTTTTCAAATTTCTTCCTTTAGTATAAGTAAGCATTTAGCTTCTCTGACGGTAAGGCTGAAGTCAATAAGTGAACTCTGGAGAGCAATGGAACAGTAGTTGAACATCTGTAGCCCATAAAAGAATGTGTTCGATCTCTTCTTTAATGGATCTTGATTGTATTTAAATTACACCAGTAATCAATAACTTATTGCCTTGACGTTAGCTCTATATTTAAATTTTTGAAGCTTATAATTTACTATGAATTTAATGGTACAAGCCATATATTTTCTACATAAAATATTTAAATACTTGAATAAAGCTACAGTGTACACTACCTTCCTTTTCTAGAATTAAACATCTATAGTTCCTTTGTACAAGCATTACAACTGTGGCAAGTTTGCCGGGATCTTGAAATCTCTTTTCAGACTCTGAAAATACCATGTCTGAAGACAAGAACCAAGGCTTGAGCTGCATTTATGCTGTAAGGCTTCTGCCTCAGTCACAGTTTCATATTGCATTAGGACAGCTTAGGAGTTGGTCTCCTGACTTCAGGGTTGTGGACAACAGAGTAGTTAGATGAGGCAGATTTGGGGTCTCACACTGGCCAACTGGGTTAACTACACATGACAATCTCTTTGTCTCCGAGTCTTTGTACTTGTACAATGATATATTTCTCCCAATAGTGCATCTTTACTGTGAACTTAAGGGAAGTTCTATCTGTATTTTTGTCAGACTAAAATGTTAAATAACTTCTTCACTTAAATAAAAATCAGATATTGGTAGTTTTAATTATTCCTTGTTTTGAAAAGAAGTATGTTTCCTTTCCACATGCAAGGTTCCTTATCACTTTTATCAGACAGTACAGGCTGTAATGCCTCTTTAGTTCTGGACTGAGACATTCATATGTATAATATGCTGACTTCTGCCTTTACTCCTGTTTCTCCATGTTATACACTGAAGCTCCTGATCTGTCAGCTGGGATTCTGTTTGTCACTATGGGTCGGGGACTCTGACAACTCAATTATCCTTTCTCCTCAGTGCAGTCATCACTTGTGGTGATAACTGGGGAACACAGGACTATAAGCATAAAGAAACCTAAGTATCAAGCTTTCTCTCCAGATTTCCTTTTTTCATATTCTCAGCTCTCAAGCTTAGCAATGGTTTTTGCTGACACCAACCATTCATATTGCCCCAGGGTCCTCTGGGCATACTGATGTCAAGAAGACCATTGCATAAGCCTCTTCTGTTCAATTTCTTGAAAATATAAAAATTCATCCTAATGAACTCCATGGATCTTGCACCTACCTTTTAGAAGCAGAACAGTGACACTGAATTCCAAAAGGGTCTTTATGAAGATATATTCCATTTACTTTATAAATTGTTGGAAATTGAATGCAATTTGAACTACTGAATACACTCACTGGTCAAGGAATATAGTTCCACACATGCAGTGAGGATTATAGGGGTCTGTGAACATGATGGGAGGGAAAACACGTTTCTCCTCAAACACACCAAACCCTTGGGACTATTGCTGTTTGTCCCTTTGAGAGAAAGGTTCTTGAGTTTGCTGTACAGAATGACTTATGGAACCAGGTGACTCATTAAGGCCTGTCTGGCCCTCCCTAGGGGACATCTGCATACCATGTGCTCTTTGGAATCTTCTTCCCCTTGTTTATCAAAAGTCAATGAAACAGTCATTGGTTTCCCAGAATAATACAGGATATTCAGAACAAATCATTTATGTTCTTAATTGATATTACTATGATGATGTAAGAGGCTTTCCCACACTGAGTGTATTCAGTAGTTCAAATTGCATTCAAAGGTTATTAAAATAACCGTTGAATCATATTGAAAGGAGACTTAGAACTGAAGAATAGGATAGTAAATAGTAAAATTATTACTTTGACTTCTTTTCCAATTCTGTGTTTACCAGATTGTGTTTACCAGTTAAGACTAAAAGTTAACATAATTCTAGAATTCTGTGTTTACCATATTGACCCTTTCTAAAGTGTCTTGAACAATACAATTTAAGAAGTTCCTCTGAACAAACTGAGCATTCACATTGCATTGAGACAGCAGACAATAAGCCTAGCTCACTAACTACCTGATTCAATTCACTCTAATACTTCAGCTTCCTTCTACACTTTAAGAGCTATCATGGGCACCACATATTAGCCAACACACTCTTTGACAGGTACCGAGATGCAGAGCATCTGAAAGTGATTTATTCTACTGTGTACAGCCACCATTGTCTACCCTCTAATTCTGTTCCAGGCCAAAATCTTTTACTTCTTGCACCATACATCCAGTTCATCCTCTCCTA